AAGTTTTGTTTTTATAAGTTTTTTTCTCTTTTTTGAATAATTTGATACTCTTATTGATATGGATGATTGGGATAAATCATGGTTGGTTGATGAATGTCATTTATGTGATATATGTGGTCGTCAATATATTCATTGAAATGGTTGTCCTAAATCTTATTCCCTTCCCCCGAACCCCTATTATGATTCTTTTGTTATTTATGATGTTGGTAGGAGTGATGAAGTGCAGAATGCAAAGCAAGAGGCGCGCAATGTGAATTCACTTATGGAATGTACAGACATGCTGGACAAAGTTAATTCAAAAATCGCTGAACAAATGTCTGAATGTGTGAAAGAGCAAAAATAATCACGAAACTGCGAGATGCGCTTGACACTATTCAATTAAAAATTATTGTCCTAGAGATTGCAGCCCAACAAAGAGAAAGCTATGAAGAAGCAAAGACAGTGAGCCAATCTTGACTACAATAACAAACTCAACTTCTAAAGTTTCAAGATTCTATCTGTGATGGTCTGACATACATGACAACCCAACTGATTGAAGGAAGAATTGAGCTCACACAAGAAATAAATCAATTTGGCTCAGATATTCATGACTTAGAGGCTCACTTGAACAAAAAGATTGAGGCGTCTGAAACCCAATTACCATTTGTTATGGATGAAGACCAACTAGTGGAGTAAAAAGAGGAATTCCAACCATTCAACTACACATTATTCCTTAATATCGATGTTGATAAAGAGTACAAAAGTGAGAATGTTGTCAATAATGCTGCTTTGGAGTTGAAGCAACTTGAATCTCATTCAAAACACTTTTCTGTAATATCTGAACTAATGGATGAGTGTATAGATGAGGAACAAGGCCCCTACATTCTAATGTTTTTTAGTCCACGTAGACAAAATGACATTCCTCACCTAAGGGCCAAGAAGTGCAAGATGCGACATAAATTACTTGGTTCCTTTATCATTATACCACCTTCCCTTGAGAGAAGCAGAAAAATTGATGCAAAGTTAGAGGTAAAATTCATAAGTTCAAAGTGAAAAGAAAAGTGGTGAATTTATTTGTGCCGTATCGCGATGTAAATTAGACGCTTATTGGGAGGCAACCCAATTTATAGTGTAACTTCTTATTTTATTTTATTAGTGTCATTTTTTTCTTTTGGTTTTGTTTTTACAGGTTTTGAAGAAGTCTAAGTATCTAAAATTTGGAGTTAAGGAGCACGTTTGAGCTTAAGTGTGGGGTGCGTACGACCCTTGATGAAAATAAAGAGAACATGCTACTAGCTAGGCCTAAGGGCCTTAGGGAGTTTTTCTAACCCTTGTTTTAAATTTTATTTGATGCTTTGGGGACATAACATATTTTTAAGTGTGGAGTGGAGAAATAAATTTCTAGTTTTTATTATTTTATTGAGTCTTTTATTTTTTTAAGATGGGTTCTTTGACTTTTGTTTTCGGTTTTTTCCTGAGGATAGTCCCTTTGAATCGAATGTCTTTTATTTTTTTAGGAATAATTTTTTATTTTTTATTTATTTGAGAGAAAAGAAAAAACCCTTTTGAGTGGTGTGATACTTTCTATTTAGGTCTAATTTTTTAGTAGTACTTTTTTGTGAATGTTTGATAAAAAAAATGCAGACTCTTTGACACCTAAGCTCATGGTTGTGACTTTGTATATAATTTATTTTATTTTATAGTTTTTATGATTATGTCTCTCTTAGAAGTGGAATTGATCCATCTTGATTGATACTTGTGCCATGTGTGATGAGAATTTCTTTATTCCATGTTTTGCATCTTAGTCTAGAACTTGCCCTGCATGTTATTGAAGCGAAATAAAATGTGTTGCTTTGTTTAGGAGATGTTAATAGACTTTCTTTGATTTGTTTGGTAATTTTAGCCTTTTCAGATATTATATCACTAGCTAGCCTTTTTGAGCCTATAGCCTTTTGTTGGTAGCCATATTTTGCCCTTGACAATTTGTTGAATCCCTAGTTTTTGGCACCTTGCTTTTTTGAGCATTATAGCATAAACTTATTCTAATTATTAATTTTGAGAAAAAGAGATGGTTGAGTGAAAAAGTAATCAATGAGAGCTACAAAGTCCTTAAAAAGCCTCTTTGAAAGAATATGATGTAAAAAAAAAAAGATGCACAAAAGAAGTTACCTTGATGATGGCCCTGGTCCTTTCAAGGACATCGTGCACCTTAATGGATGTAAAATACGTAAGTTGAGGGTGGCTATTATGAAGGAAAACTTTAAAAAAAATGATTGAAACATTCTTGAGATGATGAAAATTACTTGTGAAATAATTGTTGAATAGAGGACTGAAAATAAAGAAGAAAATAATGGGTGATGAAGTCTTAAAGTGCAAAGTGCTTAAGGAAGTGTAAGTCACTATTATATAGTTTTCCTACCCATCCCCTAGCCTATATTACAACCTGTTAAAGTCCTATTTGATTCTATTTGAGCATGCTTAATTAGTGCAGATGTACATAATGGGCAAGCCTATGATTTTTTGTGTATACATGTGAATTTTATTTCGGAGTGTGAGTTGTTCTTTGATGCTAAGTTCTTAATTTCTATTCAATCTTTTGAATTGAGTGTGTAGATTATTTCTTCTTGTGAGGGCACTTGTTTCATGATAGATAAGTGATTTTTTTAACTTTCTTTGATGAAAGTAGGTGAGCAAGCTTAAATTTGATGACTTCAAAGTCTTTCATTGAGGTTAGGAGGTTAAAGGTTTGTTGTTTATTTGTATATCTTGCATAATGATTGAGAAATGTACTTGATGTTTTGAAATTAGTATATGGCCTAAGTGTTTGTAGCAATGATTTTTTGAGATGAGCTTTAATGTTTGCACGAAAACGAACAAAAATTTAAGTGTGGAGTGTTGATGAGAGGCCAAAATACATATTTTTAATCATTATTTGCCTCACATTTATTATTTATATTTGTCTTTTTAGCCTGAATTTTATGAATTGTGCTAAATAGTATATTTTATTTGTAGGAGTAAATTGACGTAAAGTTAAAAAAGTTTGAAACTAAAACGAATTAAAGATGAAAAATTATAAAAGGAAATCAAGCAGATAACTTAATAGATTAAATTTAATATTATAATATATAATATATAAAGTGCAAAGATTTCAAATTGCAAATTGCTAATGATTCAGCGAATAAAAGTCCTGCCACGTGTCACTCAGCGACGGAAGCTACAGTGAACTTTTGAGGCGGTTCACACGGAGAAGAATTCTTATTCTGGTTAGTTTTGGTTCCCAATTTATTTTGGACTCAATTATTTTATATAGTGTTTTCAACATCTATAATAGTCCAGAGAAATAATTATTGGACAACCAATATTGAGTAAAGAGGAGGCACTTTTGAAGAGAAAGTCATCAATACTTTTTATGGTTCTTTTCTTTTTCTTGTTTTCTTAGACATTATTAGCTAAAACTCTTGTTCTGGGGATGTAGCTACGGATTCAATGTTGATTATTTAAGGTTTTTGAATTAATTCTTGGTTGTCATTATAAGTTACTTATATATTCTTGTTTTAGTATTTTATGCTTGATCACCATAAGATAAATACATTGTCTAATCTTAAAATCGAGAGAGGAGAGATTAGATAGACCAGAAAATATAGAGAGCTTGGTCCACCCAGTAGATTGAAGTGATCAGTGTTCAGGAGTGACGCCCAGATGAACACCTTACTTGGTTACGAAATAGGATGAAATATAAATGTTCGTCAGTTAGTCTATTTATCCCCGCTCAACGATGTAGCTAGATAGTTAACTGGGGTAGGCGATGAGAGGCGTATAACCCGGATCATATCATCAATCCTATAAACCAGTAACTTGACAACTAAAATTAGTTCTAAGCCAAAAATATGATACATGAAATCCAATACATGCTGCAGCCCTGGGATTTTCCAACTATTGTAAGTAATTTTATTATTTTGTTCTTGCATTCTTCTCTTTCGGCTCTCTTAAATAAATAATTAGATCAGTATAATTTAGTAAAAATAGTTAATTGACAAGTCCTTTGAGTTCGATAATCTGATTCTTTTAAGAGCCACTATATTACTTGTGCGACCGCATATACTTGCGTGTGTAATTGGGAGCAACATAAACAATTGGTGGTCTGGTGGTGGTGATTTACCGAAAAAGAAGTGGTGAAGCTCTAAAAATATATGTATTAAAGTTGTATAAATATAAACGATAGTTATAATACAATTTGAATTTGATATTATACATTACTATAAATTCAATAGTTATTATTCCAGAACAAATATAATACATTTCTAACAATGTAAGCTAATTTAAATAGTACCGAAATATTTGATATTTACATATAATACTTATTATATATGTGTATTAAAAATATTTTAGTTATATATTCACCACATGCATTGAAACATGCCTTCAATATGCATAATAAATTAAATTTAAAATGTATTATAACTGTTATTTGTTTTTTCTCTTATTAACGGTACTAAAATATGTTATAAATGACATAATACATTATTTATATTATTATAAATGGAAAAGAGAAATGTTTTAGTTAATAAGCTCTGGAAAAAAAAGGAGAAGAAGGAGAGAGGGAGAAAGAGAAAAACGAAAAAAAAGAAGAGAAGAAGGGGACTAGGGGAGAGAGAGCCAGAAAGAGAAAAACGGAAAAAAAGGGGAGAGAAAGAGAGAGCCATAATGTTATAAATGATAAAATACATTATATTACTCTCTCCGTTTCACAAAGAATGACCTAATTTGATTTGACACGAAATTTTAAAAAATAAAAAAGATTTTTGAATCTTATGGTCATAAATTAAAGTTATGTTAAATGTACAAAATTGCTCTTTAATCTTGTTGCCTTAAATATGACACGTGAAAAACTGAAAGTAAAATGTTACCAAAAAAAGAAAGAATTTTTTTTTTTTTAAAGAGACAAAAAAAGTAAGGAGGTCATTTTTTTTAATCGAAGGGACTACTATAAATGGTAATATTAGGATAATATATACTGTTTATGTAAAATGTCCAAGGTAAAATCTGGAAAAGAAAGAAGTCAACAGACATGAAATTTCTAAAGAAAACTCCAATGTCGGAGAAGAGCTCCCAAGCTCGAAATCGCATAGAAACATGACGATAAGGTACTGTGAAATTTTCGGCAGCTCCAAAGTGTTCTTCTTCATCTATGCGTTCCAATTTGAGAAGTTAAATGAAACTGGTATTTTCATCAAACCCATTCAACCTCGTTACCACAATTGCATCTTACGCTTCCTTACAATAAATTAGATACCTTTTCTTAGATCTAAATTTCAATGGAATGAATCCCAAAAGATATCGATACCACCATTGACATTTTAATCTTCAAAAAGATCTCTAATTTGAAACGTTTTTGGGGTTGAAATCGAACTACTTCAGGGCGATTATGCTTCGTCTGTTCATGCTTGTCAAAGATGTATGAAATCTTCTAGAGGAAGAGAGGTTTGACTGGAGCTCTGCAAATCTATATTAACACCTTAGTCTTTACACGGATTGAACCCACATAGGTTAATACCACTGTTTTAAGAGAAGAGTCTCAAAACTAGAGAAAATTATTAAAATTAGTGACATAAGTGAATCAATACTAAACGAGATTTAAAAAAGTCTTCCTACTATTACCTGTGAGTCTTGGTTTCATACCATCTGTAACACCTCAAAGCTCTCACTAGATACATGATATACTAACCAACAAAAATTAATTCAGACTTTACAAAGTACATTAATATGTCATATCTTTTAAACACAGTATTAGTATTCATAACATAAAGATGTACTAGAAGCTATGACTGTCTAAGTTGTGAACCTTGTAGCAACGGAGTGCCTGATTCTCATGTTTGGTAGACTTACCTTATAAAGATTGATAATCTTTTTGTCTTTACTTATTGGAACTTCTTAAACCCAATTATCTATTCATTTTAATCTATAATGATTTATTCATAACTGACAATCATTTGACCATCATTGTGTAATGATTGGCCATGTTTTTGCAAGTCCAAAAACGTTACTGCAAGTATGAATTTGCAGATTTAACTTGCAAATTGAAATCCTTTTTTTAATTCTTCTTTCACAACCCAACAATGATGTTAATGCTCATCATCGAAACCATGAAAGTTTAGTATCGCAACAACCAAAGTTGAGGTATTTTTCAGACCCTTATCCCTTATTATTAAGGGTTAAAATTATCAATGAACCATTCATTTAAACTTACACCCTAATCGTAATATGGTGCTTAGAGCCACAAGTAATTCAAAGCAATTCATGATCTGGCATGACACTATGATTTACGTAAACAATAACTGAGGATAGCTGAATGTGGAAGTTAAAATGAAATAATTGAGTAGTCTGAAATATAAAACTTAATACTCAAGAGTGAGTTTATTTGAAAACAAGGTAAAGCTCATATGTCTATCTCGAAGCCTCTACTAACATTCAGCTCTGTATTCTTTTACTGATTCAGTTAAGATAATTTTTTATTTAATGGAAACAAAATTAGCTAACTCTTGCTTATTAGGCTTTTCTCCTGCTTAGAAATTGTTTGTTTAAAAGGATGAAGGTTTTCATTCAATGCTATTCCCTGTTAAGAAGAAGTTTTTCCAAGAATGTATCAAAATGTTTCCATGAAGGCCCTCCAATATCAGTTGCTTCTGCTGCTTTCTTCTTCCACTCCACCGCCTTGCCTTTCAACTCCTTACCTTTTTCACCTTCCAACATATCCTTAATAATTGCTTCAATTTCTTCGCGCTTGACATCTTGATTGACTTCTACACCTATTCCCCACTCTGCACAAGCATATTGACAATTTGTTTGTTGCTCAGCAAAGAATGGCCAGCAAATTAGAGGAACCCCTGAACCTATGCTTTCAATCATAGAGTTCCATCCACAATGTGTTAGAAAAAAGCCAATAGATGGATGGGAAAGAACTTGATTTTGTGGGCACCAGCTTGCTAAGAGTCCCCTGTCTTTAATCTCTTCAAGAAACTCATCAGGCAACACGGCTGAATCCCCCATCATTATGTCGGGCCTAACGATCCACAAGAATGGGTGTTTGCTATTGGCAAGTCCCCACGCAAATTCTTTCAGGTGATGGTCTGACATTAAAGTCATACATCCATAATTCACATAAATTACTGAACTTTGTTCCTGTTTATCTAACCATTCAAGACATTTATTGGAATTGGTTAGATAACTGAATCAATTCTGTTAGATAGCAGTTAGTTGATCAATTCTGTTACTTAATTAGTCTGTTAAAGTATTAGTTAGAAGAGTTAGTTAGATGACAGTGAGGCACATGTATAGAATGCCTTATATAAATACTTGCATTGTAATTGATAAAGTTCAGTTTTGGAGTAATAAAATCTGCTTCTTCTTTCTCACAATTCTCTCTGTAAGATTCAATATGGTATCAGAGCTTTGAATCGAGACTCGATTCAATTATCGATTCATTGTTCAATTGTTAATCACTGAAGCAGAAACAAGATGAATGATGCTACAGGTGCTACAGATGTCTCCAATGGTGTTGAAGCAACTGTGCGAACAGGGACGATTGAAACTCTTGAAGATATCGATCGAAAGCGAAACCATCCACTCTACATTCACAATTCAGACACTCCTGGTAGTGTTCTTACCACCGTGCAGCTCACAGGGACGGAGAATTACTCTCTATGGAGTAGATCCATGTTGATTAACCTTCGAGCCAAGAGTAAGCTGGGGTTTGTGTTAGGAACATGCAAGAGGAGTGATTATCAAGGAGAATTGGAAGAACAGTGGGAAAAATGTAACGCTTTTGTGTTGGCATGGATCATGAACACCGTATCGAAGGAATTACTCAGTGGTATAGTTTATGCTACTGATGCCGCTATGGTGTGGGCTGACCTTAAGGAGAGATTTGATAAGGTTGATGGATCAAGAGGCTATCAATTGCATAGGGAGATATGCACAATTCATCAAGGTAATTCGACTGTCTCTGCTTATTTCTCGAAATTAAGACTTCTATGGGACGAGTTTGATGCTCTAGTTCCCCCACCTTCATGTAAGTGCGATAAGTCTATAACCTATGTGGATCATCTAGCATGTTTGAGGTTATTTGCTTTTCTGATGGGGTTGAATGAGGTCTTTGGTCATGCTCGTAGTCAGATCTTAATGATGAACCCACTGCCTAGTGTTGGAAAGGCATATGCCATGATCATGGCTGATGAAGGGCAAAGGATGACAGCAAGCACACACAGTGTAGGGGGCATTCTAGAGCCAACGGCTTTGTATGCTGGAAGAAGCGATTATCAAAGGAAATCGCAGGTGAAGAAGAAAAATTGGGATAAAATTTGTGACTATTGTAAGATTCAAGGTCATATTAAGGAGAACTGTTTCAGATTAATTGGATACCCTCCTGATTGGAAATTCAAGAAGAAATCAGGACCAATAGCTAGTCAAGGCAATCAACTAGAAATGGCAAACAATGTGACTGATAAAGGACATGAGGCAAGTTATGAGACAGATCCAGCTGATGCTTTTGCACCTAGGCTCCAGGAGCAAAATCTGTATCATCAGTTCAGGCACATGATGGATAAGGAGGAACCAACTTCAAGCTCAGGAGGTTCAATTGGCATGGTTAATATGGCAGGTATATCCTCTACACCTAATGCTTTATCTGTAACAATTGATGAAGCAAAAAAGGAACAGAGGTGGATAGTAGATTCGGGAGCCACATGTCATATCACATCTAAAATCTCTAGGTTGAGTTCTGCATATAGTTGTGTAGGAAAAAATGTGCAGTTACCTAATGGTGAACATACTTCAGTAACACATATTGGTCAATGCAAAGTTGTTAATGATGGTGTGCTGACGAATGTCTTAGTTGTGCCTACATTCAAGTATGATTTACTTTCAATCTCACAGTTAACAAGACAGTTGAGATGCTCAGTTAATTTTTTCCCTGAGTTCTTTGTCATTCAGGACCTCTCCAATGGGAAGGTGAAGGGGATTGGTAAGGAGATTGATGGACTGTACTACCTTTATGCTCAGAGAAAATGCGAAAAAGGCAGGGGTAATGGGATGGTATCCATGATACAACATTCAACTTCACACAACCTGCTTTGGCACAACAGACTAGGACATCCTTCTCCAAAGGTGTTAAAACATATATGTGGAGATACTGTTGCTGTTGATTTTAGTGCATGTAATAAGTGTACAATTTGTCCTTTTGCAAAGCAAACTAGATTACCATTTCAGACAAGTATGACTAGAGCTGCTACAATTTTTGATTTACTTCATTTAGATGTTTGGGGTCCATATAGGACTGCTACTCATAATGGTTGTAGATTCTTTTTGACTATAGTTGATGATAATTCCAGAATGACCTGGTTGTATTTGCTGAGAATGAAAAGTGATGTGTTCCCTATGTTGAAATCTTTCCTTATTTTAGTTCAGAATCAGTTCAATAGAAGTGTCAAGAAAATAAGATCAGACAATGGTACAGAGTTTTTTAATAGGGAAGTTAATGCTTTGCTTACATCTCTTGGTATTATTCATGAGAGTAGTTGTCCCCATACTCCACAACAAAATGGAGTTGTGGAGAGGAAACATAGGCACATACTTGAGGTGGCAAGGGCACTCAGGTTTCAAGGTGGTATTCCTATCAAATTTTGGGGGGAATGTGTATTAACTGCTGTTTATCTTATAAATAGACTTCCAACTGCAGTATTAAAAGGACAAGCACCTTATGAGAAGTTTCATGGTCACAAGGCAAAGATTGATCATCTTAGAACCATAGGGTGTTTGTGTTATGCTACTAGAGTAGTGAAGCCTGATAAGTTTTCACCAAGAGCTGAAGCATGTGTTCTGATGGGATACTCAGCAACTCAAAAGGGTTACCTTTTGTACAATACTTCTCAACACAAATTTATGGTGAGCCGAGATGTTGTATTCAGGGAAGATGTGTTCCCTTTTCTCCAGAAGATCAAAACACAGCAGCCATTATTCCCAGGAGATGTTGCTGTTAACCCTGCTGAGGATATGGATATGCCAATGCATAATGCTGATAATAGTATTGGCCTGCATGAAAATGGTGATGCTGACAATAGATTACCTGAAACAGGAGGACCAAACATTGAGCTCCCTGTTAATCCCGAACATGAAGATAATGAAGTCACAGTCCAGGCAGCAGTAGAACATGAAGATAATGACCAGGCAGAAGTAGAACATGAAGATAATGAGCTAACAGTCCAGGCAGAAGTAACAGGACAATCTTCCAGGCAATCATCTAGGATTTCTCATCCTCCAATTTGGATGAAAGACTATGTTGTTCCAGGATCTCATCATCATACTTACTCTCAAAGCAACTATGTGTCTTATGATAATGTATCTTCTAAATACAGTGTGTATTTGTCCAAGTTTTCTATTGATTGTGAGCCTAGAAACTATGAAGAGGCAGTAAAGGATCCAAGATGGGTACATGCTATGCAACAGGAGATTCAAGCATTAGAGGAAAATGGAACCTGGAAACTAGTTCCTTTACCAGCAGGAAATGTTGCTATAGGTTGTAAATGGGTGTTCAAAATCAAGTATAAAGCTGATGATGAGATTGACAGGTTTAAAGCTAGATTGGTGGCAAAAGGGTATAGCCAAACTGAGGGAATTGACTACCAAGAAACATTTTCTCCTGTGGTGAAAATGGTAACTGTGAGGTCAATTATAGCCTTAGCTGCTGCTGAAAACTGGAAAGTCTATCAGATGGATGTGTTCAATGCATTCCTCCAAGGTGATCTGTTTGAGGAAGTTTTCATGGAACTACCCAAGGGATTTTGCAGCCCAAAAAAGGATAAGAGTCTTGTTTGCAAGCTTGTGAAGTCATTATATGGACTTAAACAAGCATCAAGGCAATGGAATGCTAAGTTGACTGAGGCATTTTCGATTTCAGGTTATACACAAAGTCATCTAGACTATTCTTTATTCACTAAAAGGAGAGGATCAGGCATGGTGGTGATCCTAGTGTATGTTGATGACCTGTTAATTACAGGTAATGATGTTGGGTTAATAGAGGAAACTAAACATGTGCTACATAGCCATTTCAAGATCAAGGACCTAGGGGAACTCAAGTATTTCTTAGGAATTGAGTTTCTAAGGTCGGGAAAGGGAATAGTAATGAACCAGAGGAAGTATGCTCTTGAATTGATAGCTGAGGCAGGACTAGGGAATGCTAAACCAAATGTAACACCATTGGAGTGCAATATGAAGTTGACTAGTGCAGAATATGATCAAGATGCTCAAACTAATGATGGTTTATATGAGGATGTTTCCAGATATCAGAGACTCATTGGGAAATTATTGTACCTTACCAACACAAGGCCAGATATAGCCTTCGCAGTTCAATCACTAAGCCAATTCATGCAGAAGCCAAAGATGTCACACTGGATTGCTGCTTTGAGAGTGATTAGATACATCAAATTAGAACCAGGGAAGGGTCTGTTGATGAGTTCTGATTGCAAGCCTCATTTTACAGGATATTGTGATGCTGACTGGGCAGCTTGTCCTACTACCAGAAGGTCTGTCACAGGATTTGTCTTAAAATTTAGTGATTCACTTATTTCTTGGAAATCCAAGAAACAAAATACAGTCTCCAGGAGCTCTGCAGAGGCTGAGTATAGGAGCTTAGCAAGTTTAACAGCAGAGGTAGTATGGACTGCCAGTTTATTTCAAGAACTTGGAATAAAGTTGATTGAACCAACTTCTATTTTTTGTGATAGCAAGGCTGCTATACAGATTGCTGCAAATCCTGTGTTCCATGAGCGTACTAAACACATCGAGATTGATTGTCACTTCATTCGAGAGAAAATACAGAAGGGCCTCATCCAAACCATTTATGTCAACACAAAGGATCAACAAGCTGATCTATTGACTAAGGCACTGGGAAGAACACAACACGAATTTCTATTAGCCAAGCTTGGAGTATTGAATATCTTCAGTACGTCCAGCTTGAGGGGGAATATTGGAATTGGTTAGATAACTGAATCAATTCTGTTAGATAGCAGTTAGTTGATCAATTCTGTTACTTAATTAGTCTGTTAAAGTATTAGTTAGAAGAGTTAGTTAGATGACAGTGAGGCACATGTATAGAATGCCTTATATAAATACTTGCATTGTAATTGATAAAGTTCAGTTTTGGAGTAATAGAATCTGCTTCTTCTTTCTCACAATTCTCTCTGTAAGATTCAATAACATTGAAATTCTTCTTTCCATAAACTCGGCCTAAATGAGCTCAATTTGCTTTCTGGGATAGTTTTTTCCATCAATGAAAGTGGACCTGTAACATAAATATTTGGGAATCTAGCCTCAATTGCTTCTAGGACTTCGCATTCCAATTCAGTGAATGTGTTGATGATCACTGCAGAAGATTTCAAGCTATTTTGTGCTTCATCGCCTAAATAGTTTAACAGAATATCATCTGGATCAGTAGTCCTGATAAAGCTTGGCAAGTCCTTCAACCTAATGTTGCTCTTTACTGGAATCCCATCGACAATTGTATCCAGTGTACCATCCTCCATGAAACTGTCATCTGTTCCACAAATAGCTTTTCACATATATATAGTTTCATATCGAAAATATTGAATTCATATGAACTTATTATCTGTAAGCTCCATCTGCATCGGTTTCAAATTGTTTGTTTGGTTGTGAATTGTCACAGAGTTGAACTAAGTAAATAAGACTTTTAAATCTTATGGTCTTAAACTAAAGACATGTAGAATGTACCAAAATGTTCTTTAATCATGTGGTCTTAAATATGTCTTATGGAAAGTTAGAATTAAAGAGAAGAAAAGAAAAGAGCCATTCTTTTTAAACTGACTAAACAGAAAAATAAAACAAACAATTTGAAATGGAGGGAGTATGAGGTTGAGGTCTGAGGACGAACCTTTAAACGGGATAATCCCTCTTCTTCTTAGTTCATCAAATTGAAGGTATCCCATATAACCACAAGCTGAGGCTGTCCAAAATTGGACATCAAGGATGCCAAATTCTTGTGCTGCCTTAATGGCAAAGCTCATCATCCCATCTGATATTATACAAGAAATTGGTGGAATGACCGGTGATGAAATAAGCTTTGATAGTAAATCCTGAAAAGGAGTCAAGCAGTTCTTCCTTATCGAGTCACATAACAAAACAGGATCTTGAGTTGCATCGCGATCTGATGGTGGCAATCCTTCCGGGATAGTTTCAAATTTGAAATCCTGGAAGCTTTTCTCAAAGTCAGGGCCTTGGGATTGGATTAGACGTCTATGGTTATATTCAGTGTTGACAAATGTTACATAGAAACCTCTTGAGTGCAAAATTTTGGCTAATTTCATGAATGGTATTACATGACCTTGTGCAGGAAATGGTACACACACTGCATGCGGCTTCTTGTCCATGTTTAGTACAAGGATTTTGTTTCTTTTCACTTGTGGACTAATATTGTCGATTGAGTCCCATTTTATACTCCAACTAGGGGCGTTCTCGGGTAAATATTATCCAAGTTGAAAAATTGAACTAAATCGATTTTATTTGTGTTTGATTTTACTTTTTTAAAAATTGATAATATTTCATTTAGGTTTGATTTGGTTCAAAAAAACCGGAACAAATAACCGAACCGATCCAAACCAATAAACTCAAGAGGAGAACATTTATCTTATTGGTTTCATATGTATAAATGTCACAGAGTGTCATTGTCACTTCCTTCTCTAGGCCAATAGTGATGAATTTTGGAGCTTTATTCATAGTAAATTCAGTGATAAGAGGTTTTGTAATATTAGTCGTTCTAACTGACCGGTGAACGCCCCTAACTCTAACGTTGACACTGTTTCATTTCATAATGCTCTCAGACTTTTATAATCTTTGTTCGTCTTTTGTTTGCTTCTTATGCCAACAATTTGTATGACTATTCCAACAAATATATTAAATTTCAGATAGCATAATCACTCAGCAACTATAAGATCTTTTTCATTTTCAGTATTTAACAGTACAAACATATAAAATTCATTTCCAACATTGATTCTACATTATATTCTTGGGAATCTTTGAATTGAGGTATAGATGCATGAGCACCATAAAAGGGTGATAAGGATATAACGTCTTTACATTACAGGACCAATAATATGCTCCAATTATTTGTCATGTAGGATGCCACGTAGGTCGTGTGTGTTTATTTGTTCAATTTTATACAAGTTTAAGTGTCTACTTGTGCACACCCAAAGTTGAGGACATGAATATGAAAAGGAGTTAATATCTTAAAAGGTTATTGAACTATGAGAAATTATCTAGTAAAGTCATTGAACTTTGTTTTGTATCAATAAAATCACTCAACTTAAGACTTTTATCTTAAAAAATCACTCAATTACATTTATCAATAAAATAAATTTTAAATGACAAATTAAATTATTTTTATGTCATGTAATCATGGACTCTACCCATAAAAATTATAAAAACTATTTATTTTTATACCTATTTTTTCCCCTCTGTCTCTCTATGACATCAGTTTGAACGCATCGCCCGAATTTTCAAACAAATTAGATCTGAATCGACGTCTTGTTCAAAGATAATAAACTACCCAGATTTTTGCTAACTTTCTTGGCATCTTTATTTTCGTACTTTATTGTTTTATTGTTTTTTATTATATATATATATATATATATATATGTAGTGGCTGGTCCTAAT